GCGCGGTGGTCTGCTGCAGCCCCTTCTTGCCTCGTGCTTTATTTCCTGGGATATTGATCCAGAAACACTCCGGATCATTTATTTCCATGTCGCTAATGACTTGGAACCAGCCTGGGAACCGCTGGTGTTCAGGAGAAGGAGATAACCTGCTCCCAAAGCAGTCCCAGCGGGACGTGGATTGGGACAGGCAGATCAAGACCTCCAAGCAGGAGTGGAAATCCAATGGAGGGGGGGCTGTATCACAGGGCTGCAATCCTCTGGCCGGAGAAATCTCCCCGCCACCCTGCGGCGTCAGGAGTGGGGTTGTGCCGTGTGCTCGGCGATTCCCCCTCGTGCCAGTGGGTTTTGCCGCTGCAGTTAATTCTCTTTGCGTTCTGTGATTTCCCAATTATATTTTTTTTTGCATGCGAGCATGGACGGGCGTCCTTGTTCCTCCTCCGTTACGTTACCGGGCTAACGTGCCCCTGGTTTTGGTTGGCCAGAATACACCCCAGGAGCTTTTCCCTTTGAGATGGAGGTCAGCTGAGCTCTACAGCTCCAACCATGGATGGCCTCACCCTGGGAAAACACAGACCTCCCTACACCGCTTAAACAACCTGCTATTTAATTCCACATTTAGCTGCCTTTTTCCTTTCTTTCCCTGAGAAACAGGGGTGATTTCTTTGACGTCCTTCCCCTTCAGCAGCATTCGGGCATCCCCAGGAGCTGCCTGCAATTTGTGAGGTCCTGTGAAGCCCTGCTGCTAGTGCCAAAAAACCACCACTCCCCCACCCCCCGTGGCCCACTGAGTTGAGATGCCTTCGAATCGCACCTCACGGCTGGGCTCGGGGCGGCCAGCACGCTCTCCTTCCTCCTCCTCTCCCCGTCCTCTCTGTTGTGCTTCGCAGGATCAAATTCCCAGAAAAAGCCACCCGCCTTCCTGGGATGCTGAAGATGTTTTTCTGGGCAGCTGGACTTTTAGAGATACATCCCGCCGTTCTCACGCTGGGGATGCTGTAGCAGCACGGATTCCTCCAGCTCATCCCTTTGCTCTGTGGCAGGTTTTTCCTTCTTTAAGCGTAGCCAAATTCCCCAGCAGGTTTCCAGGAAGGCTGGGTCTCCCCGATGCCCTGCACTCATCTTTCTGAACCACGTTGTACGTCAAAACCCGCCGCCCGCCTGCATCCCCACCCCTCCCTGAGCTGCTCCCTCGGGCTGTGCCCCGCTCCCTGCAGGGCCGGGCAGATTTCGGCACACAGGGGCGGGATGGGATCCCCCGGAGATCTGTGCCTTTCCACCAGCGTTCTGGCCTGCAAGGCACACCGGGAATAGGCGGGTGCTAATTTCATCCTCTGTATTTTGCATCGCTCCCGCTGCCCAATGCTATTTTGTCCTCCCTCATCCATCCTCAGTTTCTTATCATAAGCTGGTTTGCTTTTTATTGTATTTTTTCCTCATTATTCTTTTATCCCAAACATCGTCTCGCTTGCACCAGGTTATTAAAAAAACCCAACCTTGACAGCCCTATCTAACGCCGCCTGTACATTTTAGGGAAATGTCTCCAGAATTAGCCAAATATACTGGAGAAACCCCGCTGCGGTTTAAGGGCAGCCCAGCTCTGGCCCCGGCCCCGGCAGCGCCTGCGGAGGCCAAGCTGGTGCTCACCGGTGGCAAAAGCATCTTCCAAAGGGAAAAGCCCGCTGGTATTCAGGGCCGGTGTGAAACCCAACCTGGAATTTCCTCTCCCACACATCAGCAGCACCAAGGAAATATGAACTGGCCTGGAAAGGACTCCCTGAGGCAGGAAGGACTGCAGGGGGTTGGGGCACGAGGTTTTATTTTAAACTAAATCCTGAGCTTTGAACCGGCGTCTGTAATTGTCCATCCAGCTCCTTCATCTGGTATTCCCACAATCTTCTTTATTTGCCTGATTTGGGGCAATTTTCGGATATTAAACCCTTCAATATCCAAGGCAGCCCCTTCTGGGCAAACCCCCCCTCCAGCCACAGGGCAGCAAGGCAGGCTACGGGCACATCACAAAACCTAAATCGGGTCACCAACGGAAGACGTCACATTTTAAGCGCAGAAACCGCCCCCTCATCGGGCAGGGAGGTGCTGTTCCTAAAATAATACCCATTTTAAAGCCACGCACCATCCTGATGGCCCCGCACGAGCACTTGCCACTCCTACATCTCAACCGCCTGCTCCCCCGGCGGATTGGGATGAGCCATTTCTTTTCCACCGGGTACCGTTAAACGTGCTGTTATCTTAAATTCCTGTTGCATTAGGAGCAGCGTCCCGTGTTGCGTCGCACCTTGGTGCGTGCGCGGGCGTTAGCCTCTGGGCTCCATCTCCCATTTAACTCCGCAGAAGGAATAGCTGGCCATTAATTACCGTGCCAATTAATATGTAAAACTCCCATAACCACGTAAAACTACTGACAAAACAACAGAAGGGGGCTGGAATTTCTTTTTTTTTTTTCTCTGCCCGAATTTTTATATGCGTTTAAGCAACTTCCATTGTGTTTTTCTTGGAAAGTTTGAGAGTTTCCACCCAAAATCTCTCTCCATGAAAAAAACCCTGGGAGTTTGCAGTTGCCAAAAAACGCAGTACCTGAAGCGTGGGATTTTTAGGAAAAAAAAAACCAAAACAAACCCCAATGTTCTCGCATTCATGAAGGACTCGGTGTAATTTGAAAAGACATTTTCAACTGAAAAAAAAACCCCTTCACTGGGAAAATTTCCACCCACGCTGGTTGCATCTCTTCCCTCCAGCTCCGAGGGAGAGGAAGGGCTTCTTCCTGATGAGGGGGGCGATGCTTTTCAAGGGATGGACAAGGAAATGCATCGATCAGGGAAAAAAGCCCGAGCGGGAAGACGCAGTCTGCAACTTCCTACTAGGTGGGCAACCGAGGCGGGTACCGAGCGTAACCGCCCCTTCCCGGGGGGATGTGCCAGCCTGAATCCCAGGAGTTTCCATCACCAGGGTTTGTACAGCTCATTTTTTTTCCTTGGAGTCCTGGCTGAGCCGGGTCTTGAATCTGAGTTGATAGGCTTGGCTCAAAACTAGCACTCCAGTAACGCCGGCGGCGATGGCAGGACGCAAACACGAGCCTGGCAGTCCTACCGGAGATTTTCCGGAGGAACCGGGCTTTCATACCTTGCCCAGATTTTTCTTTACAGGCACTCGTGAGCTTCTTTTTAAATTTTTGTTAAACAGAGCTCCCCCTTTAATACCCGCGTACTGATAACACTGGTGTGTTAATACAGATATATATGTATGCACGCGCGCAGACGCCCCGATGCTGCAAAATATTTGGCACGCTTAGAAACAAGGGGGTGCGTAGCCAGACCAGGACCCCGCGTGCTCCAGAGGCACGGAGCGAGCTGTCGCCGCTGCCCGGGGAGGATTTCACATCTTCGGCAATCCCAGGAAAAAAAAAACCAAACCAAACCAATAATCTGCGGACGGGAGTGGCGAGGGCCTGCTGCTGTGTTGCACCTTCCCGAGGGATGGGCAGGATCCTGCTGAGATGCTCTGTGTTGAAGGGAGGGGACCGAGGTGCGCAGCAGCCGGGGAAGGG